GGGTGGGCGCAGGGGGGCGCGGCGTGAGTTTAATGATGGGGGAGGAGTTGCTGCTGTGGGAGGACTTGGTGAGGGTGGCCTGCATGGGGGTGATGAAGTTGGCCTGGTGGTGGATCTGGGGTTTGCTCTGAGGGGGGTGGGCCGTGTGGGAGGTGGGGGACGGCGAGGAGGCGGCTGGGGAGGGCGGGCAGAAGGACTGCGACCCGCTGAGGGAGGTAGAGTTGGAGCGCGGCTGTGATGAAGGCGAAGATGAAGGTGGGGCGGGGCTGCTCAGGGCGGCGCCGTTGCCGCTGGATTTCCCGCTGCTCTTGGGCGCCACCTGGCCCCCCCCCATCGTTCCCAGTAACCCCGCTGGGCAGGAGAAGCCTTTCTGATGGGGGGGCAGCAGAGGCGAGGCGGTGGGCGGCGGCCGCTGCTTCGGGGGTGAGGGGGAGGGGTGTGGGTGGATCTTCCCCAGAGCGGAACCGGGCCTGTGGCTGGGGGTTGCCATGGTAACGTGTCTCTGCGTCTGAGCCGCCGTACCAGAAGCTTTGATCTGCACAAAGTGACCCTCAGCAGTCCTGGAGGTCAACAGCAGGCCGGAGGTTTGAACACGAGCCGCGGAGGAGACAACAGGAGAAGAAGAAGACGACGACGAGGAAGAGGAAGCAGAGGTAGTGGGAGGGGCTGCTGGAGCAGCTCCTGATTGGTTCCCAGTAGAAGCAGCAGTGGGAGGGGCCGCCTCTACCCTGGACAGGGAATGTTGATGCAACGTGGACGAGGTGGACAACTGGGAGGCAGCGGGGTAGTGAGGGGCAACGGGCGGGGGGGAGGAGGTGGGCATCTGGAGAGGGGGGGGCGACATGGGGCTGTCTGCGGGGCCCAGGCCCTTAGAGGCGCTGCTGAGCAGGGCCAGAGCGTGAGAGATGGAGTCCAGAGAGGGAGCCGTCAAATCCTCGTCCAGAGAGTCCGACAGGCAGATGGGCTCAGGGGGGGAGGACAGAGGGAGGGGCTGGCGGCTGGAGGTCATGGTTGGAGGCGCTTTGTTGAGCCACAGACCCTCCTGAGAAACAGAAAAATCAGCAGTCAGTCACCCGACGGGTCACAGCTGGAAGGACGGATCAAATCAGAGCTCCAGCAGGTGACTGTCCTTCATTTAGAGAAGATCCAGATTATCTATGGATGAAGGCGACTAAAATGAACAATTATTATGGAATCACA